CCTGCCATGTCTCTTTTGCATGTCCATAAAGCACGACAAATTCTGTCATACATAATTTTGTTTCATAAATTCGGTCTGTGGTATTATTTATGCTCTAAGCCTCTCTGCTGTTATTGATATATTTTGAGAGTTCATATTCTCAAATTTTCAAATTTATTGATATATATATTCATATATATATATATTGAGAATATAAAATATTTCTATAACATCGTTTTCGACATCTTTTGAATGTCTTTGGCATATTATATGTTTTGAAAAACTTGTTGAAACCTTAGTTCTTTTCTTGAAGAATGTGGGAAATAAAGACTCACTTTCTGCCCTACTTCCTTACATGGTTATTTTCTGAAATAAACAATAACGGGGCAGCGTTTCCTCAACTGAAAAAATAAGTACAAAATCGAAATTTTCGTGTGCCGTTATTCTTCATGTAGTGTGATTAAGACTTTCTAGCAACTGACATCTTCTTGTGAAATTTCAAGATGGTTATGACCTTAATTCGTGATATGTAAGAGCAAAAATGGTGATAATTTTGTATTGTTGTAATATGTTTTTCCGTTGGACAAGTTCTTTTAAATTGTTTGATGAAAGTAATCCGAAGTTTAGTCCACGTAACAATAACATTAGTTTATTTCTTCATTAACGTTTATTACAAGCTACTATCGCTCATACAGAATTGTTGGCCAAGTTCACAAATAACGTTTCCACTTTCAACATAAATTTACTCACGATAGTACTACGATTAATGTACTAATAAACTTACTGGTACAATTTCACGGCTAATCGATCGAGTAACTGAATATTCACGATAACTAACACTGATCTGAATACTTCACTAACTTCTCAATCACCGAATGAACTGACACGGAACTCTGTTTATAGATATTTCGGAATGTCTCTTCACCATTAATATTCTAGGGTTACTTTCATAAACTTTTTAAATCTAGTTATCATCATCATGTTAACAGCTCTCTAGCAAACTCCTAAATTAAAACATTACAAGTATAGCTTACAACATTATTTAATGTGTTTCTTTTTCTTTCTTTACTTCTCTCTCCGTTAATCCTAATACATCCTTTAACGTCCATGTTCCGTGGTATATTTTCAACTAAAGACCAAAAAACAGTAACTGAGTCGTACAATAACAATCTGATTTTAGTGGCCATCTTTAATTTATGACATTTCGACCATATTCACATGGTCAGATGTTTTTTTACACTGTTAGGGTTCATAATCAACATGTTTCAAAGATCCGATTTACACCCAGATATATTGAGGAGAGATGACGTAGGCTCAAACTTTATTTTGACCGAAGTTTGCAAAGTGGCTCCCAGACTATAACTGAAGTGTACTGGAAAAGAGCCAAAATATCGGACTCAGCCCTAGCTAACTAAATGCTTAGTTCATGATGCCTTTTGCGACAGTACACTGCGATGTAATCATTGACTGGTACTATGTCATAGCGAACGAATACTGTCATAATCGACATCATTGGGCGATATAAAAGGGTCTTTGGTATAATTAAAAGGCCTACGGGTAACGAATATAGTGGCTTGGTTATTAATCAATGAATCATTTTGTAATAGCTTATAGCCTTGTTTTTAATACTAAATTATACTTTAACTACATGTTAAACATATTATGTTTACAGTCTCACTGGAGATCACTGACAAATATCTGTGCTTTGCTGACCAAGTACTTACAATTATGATGAAAAGTAAAACAAAAATCTACCACGAAAAAAATCAGTTACTCGTCAGGTTATGTAATGAATTTGATAGCAAAAAATAAATTGTTTAAAAGATCAAGAATTGAAAATTGTGAAATCCTGATCGTCCATAGTTTCCGTAAC